GTGCCAGTGGAAGCTTTAAAATTCAGCACAACAGCAGACGACCTGGATAGTCACCTGACTTATTGGCTGAAATTAAATGATTGTGAACGTCAATCCCTGGTAACTTTAATTTAAAATAATCTTTATTTAAAGCTATAGTTTTAGCTAAATGTATGCAGTTAGTTTTTTCTATTTCCAATTTAAACTAATATTGTGCCTATGTATTTAAATTAAAGATTACATCTTTGTCCAATGTCACACTTGTATCACAAAATCTCTCTGGCAAGCTTTCTTATATGTTGTTATTGTTGTTTCTTATATGTTGGCACCCAGCTCAGTTTGGTCTTTATATAGCCAGGATGGGAAAAGAGGGAAAAGGAGTATTAGCCCAAGTATTCTTCCTATCATAATAGGTAAAAGTGATTGATTTCTATATCTATAACCTAGCCATGCTGTATTTTTTATTTATTTTGTCAAAAAAAAGTTATACTGTTGTGGTAATGTGATTTCAATAATTGTATTGTATATATATATATATATATATATATATATATATATATATATATATATATATATATATATATATATATATATATATATATATATATATATATATATATATATATATATATATATATATATATATATATATATGTATAAATGTGTGTGTACCTGTGTATGTATGTATTTATGTATGTATGCTTGTATATATATATGGGTGTGTATGTGCTGGTAGTCTATGTATACTCATCAGAAGCTTACTTTCTAAAAGTCGTTCATTCTACCAGGGTCGTTGCTAGAAGTACAGACGGGAACAATTGTTTGTGGGACACCAAGTATACTTTAGAGTATGAGTGATTCTGATTTTGGTTATTTATCGCACAGTAGTTTTTCTGGGATGAATTTGGTGTTATTAAAGAATTATAGAAGTCAAGTGCTGTATAAAATATTAAAATGTATTGTTTTCATGAATTGGATTGTACTATTTTAAATGGCTAGGATGTAAATAGCCATGCTCACAATAAATAAATAAAAACTCTGTTTGGGAAAGCTAATTGATTAATTGCTACAATCAACGTAAATTTCGTGAACCTTCTAAACCAAGAACCATCAGCTCTACTAGTTTAACGAAGGATTACTGATAAAACCGGTTGATATATATACAAATTGAACGTTTGATATAAAAAAAAACAACAACAAGAAAACATTAAAGCTCTATATCTAATCAGCAAAATCATTCCAATCAGCTTGAGCGGTTTATCAGTGACAAGACATTAAGGTCTTCTACGAGTTTTCCGTTTCTTTGTTATGCTATTTTTATTTTCTAACGATATCTTTGTTTGTAGTTAACTTAAATTAATGTACGATAAATGTAAAAAAAAAAAAAAAAATAAAGTGTTTATAAGATCACAACTTGAATATGCAGTGGGTTTTTTTAAATCATTTTTAATATAGTCATATATGAATCTAAAATTTTGTTGTTAATTTTGTTATAAGCTTCAAGGTTTATAGGATCTGTTAAACTTAGACTACGTGAAAAGGTCTGAATTGATGCATGACCTTTGACAATTTCTCGAAATGCCATAATACATCTAGTATTAATGTCAAAATATTTTTGAGCACTTTTATTTGGTAAAATAGTTTCTTTAGAGGTAAAAATATTTTTACTCCATTGATAATAAGAACAGGAAAGTCTCAGTTTATTTGCCAATCCTTACTTTTATGTTGTTAAATTTTGAGTACATTATCTCATTTAATTACATTCTGAGCAAACTGAATACAAACATATTGTTTCTGCCAAAATATTTAAGTCTATTATCAAATAAGATATATTCAAATCTGACACTGCATATTTAAGTCTTATTCTGCATATTCAACATTTTTTAAATACGGGTCCCGTATTGAAAAAATTACAAAGGTCTGATTGAATCGTTCAACTTAAAGCAACAAAATGGGCTTCAAACTTGAGACGTCTTCAATACTACGAAAGACTAAAAATACTAAATCTATCATCACTTGAGTTTTGACGCCTACAATGCAATCTTATCCAAATCTTTAAACTATTACATCGATTCGATATAATTAATGATATATATCAACCAAAATTTATTAACTCCTTGCCATGGTCACCATTTTAAAATAAGGCGTGAATGTGTTCCAAACTGTCTTCCAAGACACAACCAGCTATATGATAAATCAACAAAATATTGAAACGAACTATACAATTACTTTTTCACTCAACTATACTTTCTTTTAAAATTAGACTTGATCACTGATTGGGGATAAAATTTAGAAAGAAATTTTATGAAACTGGTTGTTTATAGTAGGGTGTTTTCCCTGCTCGCTGTATGTATATATTGCATGTAGGGGAAAGTCGAGTAGCCCTGGACGGTGGGTAATTCCGGACATTTAATGTATTCCTTAAACTAAAGAAGCTATGTGACTTTAAATACTATAAAATAGTGTTGCGAAGGTAAAATTTACCGAAAAATTAACCGCCTGGTAAATTTTACCTGCCTGGAAAATTTACCGCCTGGAAATTTAAAATTTTTTTCTCACATTTTTTTTTTCATTTTTTTTTTTTTTAATTGTTTAAAGCAAAATTTACCGTTCTCTAATTAAAATTTACCGGTAAATTTTGAATCAAATTTTACTGGAAAATTTAAATCACTACTATAAAAACATTATTAAAGTGAAAATATGGCATATGTGAAATATATATCATAATATGTTAAAGCAATTGGTTGGGAGTGCAAAATTTTGTTTTCCACCAATAGAAGAGTTTTCCACCACCAGAAATGCGATGTATCATCATACTTGATTCACGTATTAGCGTATCAAATTTTTATGTAAATTAATAACTTTTTATTGATTATTTACAATATGTATATATTCATTAAAAAAAAAAAAATTCGTTTAATACTTTAATTCGCTGGTTTTAAAACTAGTATTTGTGAATTAGATATAATCAGGGGGTATCTGACACATGTTTTAAAGGGTGGTTACAGACAACTTAATCCATTTACATATTTATAATGAGCAGTTTTTTTTATATATCAATAATAACCCATTTAATATAATACACAAACCCCATAATAGTAACTCGTTTAATTCCAATAAAAAGATCTAAGATTTCAACAAAGTGCTTTTAAAATGTTTATTTTCATTAGCAAAGAGCTAATGTTTATATTTCTAAACGATCGCATTTTCCTTCTCATTCCCTATATATCAGAAACAATTTTTTAAGGCGTTTTTTTTAAATGTGTTGAGAACATTCCAATGCTAATTAATTATATTTTAAGATTGTTTCACACGGTTAAAAAAGAGGTAAAATCATGGTTAAACTGTGTTTAGAGCTATTGCCCAATTTTGAAACATCCTTTTTTTCTAACATTTTTTCTTTTATGTTTTGTATATCATTAACGTACGCAACAATTGTTTTTTTATTTCTAATTCAGTAGATAAATGTTTATATTTTTAAAAAAGCCTTTCGACTCTTTGTTTTCAGTTAGTGTATGTGCACAATCTATTTTTTCCTCAATTGTATGGGGCTACCCGACTTTCCCCTATATTTTATGTCTGCAACTATAATAATAATAATAGTTGAACATAAATATTGTACCTGACTATTCAGAATTTTGATTTGAATAAAAAAATTCTTGAAGTTTTTCTTGTTTTTACTTCTCTACGACTTTTTTGACGCCATTTTTTTTTTTTTTAAAGTAGAAGGTGGAAATACCTCGTTTACCCTATGTAAAAAACAATTTTAAATAAATAAAAAGAGGGGCTTTAGAATTGCTGTTGTCAACAGTTCATTTTTTTTATATGCGCATTTATTTTAAACTATAAATAAATAAAAGTTTTAAATTCCAAACATGGCATAGGAAAAACCGCAGCTGCCGCCAGTGTTTGGAAAATCTGGATTAGGAGTTGTAACAAGACTTTTTATTATTATTTTGCACCCCTGGTGTTTATCTTAAAATATTAAATCTAAAGAAATGAAATCTCTAATTAAGCTTTTACGCTTTTATAATATTTAATAAAATTAAAAAATCTTACCCATTCAACGTACGAACTGATCTGTAAGTAAAATAATTGAAAAGTTAAATATTCTGTGTGTTTTTTTTCGGCTAATCGCCTTCACAAAACCAGTCGTGTAACAAAATTAAGTTTTTTTTAAAGGATTATCTTGTACTAACAGCAAGTAATTCATGGTTATACAAAGTTGTCTGATAAATTAAAATGAAAAAAAAGTTATTTGTATTTTAACTTTTCTTTTTGCATTTTTTATGCTTGTTATTTGGTTATATAGTAATTTGGTTTAATCACTCAGTATGTAATTTAAAAGCAAAACTTATACAAATTTAAGTTTACGAAATCGTTTACTTCAAAAAAGTTGTTTATTTATATTTACAGAAAAGATTGAAGTTTGTTAATAATTTTACTCTTTAATTTTCAATATAAAATAGTAATCTAAAATATATTAATTAAAAGTTTTCAATAAATGCTTTAGCAGAAATGTCTTCAATTATAAATAATAGATTTTAAAATTTAAAAATTTGTTTTGAGACGTTTCATTAAGATGTAACAGAAAATCTTTATTTATAAAGCGACGCAATCAAAACATTTTTATCTTACTGAGATGAAAAAATAAGGCATAAATTTGATTACAAACTTAGAATTAATTTATTAAAACTTTTGCGTATTTTATTGTTAGAATCAGTTTCAAAAAGTGTAAATAAAATCTCGTAAAGAGTGTAGGGTTTTATTTTGTAAAATAAATAATGTCACACAGTAGTTCTTAGTGACAAAACTTGTTCTTCTAAGAGTCAAAAGCAATTGAAAATTATTATTTCATTTCAGCTTTTTATGTTTATATGTTTCGCATTTATAAAAAATAAATTCTTTATACTGCAATTTGTTATTAATAATAATAATAATAATAATAAAATAATATAATAAGTTATTGCGCATTAAACATTTTGTTTTGCTTTATCGCTTGAGAATAAAGATTTACGTCAGTTTGTACATGCCACTAGTGTAAGCAAAAAATTTTCTTTAAAATCCTTAAAAATTTTATGTTGAATATTTAATTACTTTAAAAAAAAGCTCATTGAAATTTTTTAGATCTAATGCTTTTTCAAAACTTGGCATTTTTTTTTTTAATTAAAGGTTTTTGTGTCTGAAATGTCTACGTTGAAATATTAAATAAACGGCTTTTTGTTTTTTAATAATAATACTTTTAATGAAAAATATCAACGGTGGAGAAAAATATTGTCTGTCTAATAATAAATTATATTAAATGTAGAAAATGGCGACTGGATGTGGTGATGGTGCAGAGAATTGCAGTCCTCGTGATCCCGTCAGATCATGGTTTTTAAAAATACACGATACAATATCTATGGCAGTTGCGTCAAGGCCTAATGTTGATAAAAAATCATTTGAAAGAGCATGGAGGGAAATCGAAAAAGTTGGAAAACTATGTCAAAATCCCAAACTAACTTTAAAAAACAGTCCGCCATTTATGTTAGATATTTTACCAGATACATTTAATCATTTAAAAACAATTTATCATCATTATGAAGATAAAATTCATGTTTTAAATGAGTTTGAATATTTTAAAATATATCTTGTAAATCTTGATTGTAAATGCAAGCTTGTTATAAAACTTTTTAGAGACAGTCGTGATAAAATATTTGACGAACGTGATAATTCACGTAGAAAACTAACAAAACTGAGTCTTATATTTAGCCACATGCTTGCAGATTTAAAAGCAATGTTTCCAAACGGTGTTTACATTGGTAATAAATTCAAAATAACTAAGGCAGATGCAGCAGAGTTTTGGAACAAAGCATTTGGAAGGTAAGATTTGTAATACATTTAAGATAAAAATAAATTTTGATAACGTTTTCAAAAAATCAAAACGTAAAACAGCTCTTTTTTAATGTAAGATAATAAAGTTAAAGGTGTCCCTAAAATTTGTAATTAAATATCTAAAAATATTATGTTATTTTTTAAAATTGAAAGTGCTTGTATTTGCTCTTTATTTTATATGTGAAAACTTCATCCTGATCAGATGATTTCAAAATAAGTTGTGCACTATTCAATACTGTTGAGTAATTAGAATAAATTTTTAAAAAAAGTTAAAAACAGGTATAGATTGAAAAAAATATACATAATTTAAAAAATAAATTTATAGTATAATTACATGGTTTCTTAGACAGTTTTCTAAGCAAAAACTAAAATAAATGTTTGAAAAAATTAGAATTTTTTTTTTATCATAATAAACATCAACTAAAGGTTTGAGGAAAAAATATAGACATATATATACAACCCTCGGAATTAAGAAAAATGAGCTTGATATCAAATTTATTGCCGATCGCAAACTGTAATAGGTTCGGCAAAAAAATTTTGATACAAAGGAGTCACCAAAAAGTATAGAAACGAGGACTGCGATTTTTTGGCTGTTAGGTCGGCATTGTTGAATGCTGACCCTAATTCTGAGGGTTGTATGTATGTATATATATATATATATATATATATATATATATATATATATATATATATATATATATATATATATATATATATATATATATATATATATATATATTTAAAATTCATTTCTTGTTATAGGATATATATATGTATATATAATATGTAAGTTGATTTTAATAAAAAGCAGCGTATAACTATTTTTAAATATATTTACATCATTATATTAAATAATATAATAATGTCATTATTATATTATTTAATTGGTTTTCATATTTGATGATTTTTAATGTCTTCTTTTTAAACTGTTTGTTTTATGTTATTTTGTAACGTTTTTAAATATTACCTGATGATGCTGACCATAATAGGTCAGCGAAATATCGTTAATGTATTTTTACATCAAAATATATTTAAAAATACTTATACTCTGCCTTTTTATTAAAATAAACTTACATTTTGTGTATATATGTATATATATATATATATATATATATATATATATATATATATATATATATATAATACATATATATATATATACATACATATACATACATATATATATATATATATATATATATATATATATATATATATATATATATATATATATATATATATATATATATATATATATATATGTATATATATATATGTATATATATATATATATATATATATATATATATATATATATATATATATATATATATATATATATATATATATATATATATGTATATATATATATATGTATATATATATATATGTATATATATATATATGTATATATATATATATGTATATATATATATATATATATGTATGTATATATATATATATATATATATATATATATATATGTATATATATATATATATATGTATATATATATATGTATATATATATATATATATATGTATATATATATATATATATATATATATATATATATATATATATATATATATATATATATATATATATTATATAAGCAATTTTTTCTGGAAAACTGTCTGAGAAAATGTTTTTGTTCTATTTGGAAAGCTGTCTGAGAAAGTATGTTTTTGTTTTATATGGTCCATATAGAACAAAAACATACAAATATATAAGAAAAAAAATCTACTCCCTAAACACATCAGCGGTATTGTGGTGAAGCAGTTCTGCTTCTTTTTCATAAATATATTTTACTTTTTTAGTTTAATTATTTAAGTTTGCTTAATGATAATTTGATGCAATAAAAGCGTGCTTCTAGTTTGCAAAATAAAAAATAAAAACATAGTTTACTTATAATGTAATATGCTTTTTATATATTAATTTATAATATATTATAGTAAAATACACCAATGGATTTAAATAAAATATAAAGTTATTAAATGTATACATAGTATGCAGTTTATAAACTGGTCATTATAAACCACTGTTTCAGGCTTCTGGTGCATTGTGGAATTTTTTAAACATAATGACACTGCTAAAAGAAAAAGTCGTTATAATATTTTTAAAGTAACGCAACAATTTATTTATTTCTTTTGTTTATCTTACTTAAGATGATTTTTTTTTTTAATTTTATATTTATATATTGCAAACTATGCAAAGCATGGAATGGTTATAAACATATTTTTACTTTTTTATTTATTTATTATATAACATATTTTTATTTATTATATAATTCAACTATCTTTAGAATAAAAATAAAACAGAAATAAAAATAAAACAGAAATATTTAAACAATTATATTATACGTTTTTATAAACTGGAGAACGTTGGTTTCTTTACTAAACAATCATTAATAGTAAGTTGTTACTTTTTATACAAGTTTCTCCTAATTTGATAAAAAAAGTTAAAAAAGGGAGAAGTTTAGAAATAATTTATTCTAAACGAATTTGTTTTGTTTTAGTTAAGTTTTTTTTTTCTGAAAGAATTCATTTCTTTTTTTAGTTAATTTTTTTCAGAAGTTGTCTCTCGTTAAGTTAAGTTTTTTTTGCGCTTTTTGAAATGTTCTTAAAGCATCTAAAAAGTTGTGGCCATGTTGTCACAACTAAATATATGTGTGGTCAGATATAGAGTGCAATCTCACCCGCTTCCCGACCAAGCCTGGTGTAACTACATCTGATAATTTTTCTCCAAGTCCAATAACATCTAGAAGAATCTTCTCCAGATGTAGTTACACCTGAAAAAATTTCTATATGTAACTACATCTGGTTAAAATAATGCATTATTAGTTAATTCATCTGAAAAATAACTTCATCTTAAAATCTACAGATGTAGTTGCACAGATGTTATTACACTTTCATAATTTAAAAGATGTAACTGCATCTATAATATTCATTTTTGCACAGATGTTATTAGACATCAATAAAATTTCAGATGTTATAATAACATCTGTCCAACAGATGTTATTATACCTCATTATATTTACAGATGTTGGACAGATGTTATTAGACATAGCAAAAACTGATATTGTTACCCTGACCCCTTTAATACTATTTCAGAATTTTTGCAGTTTATAGTAGTTCTGGGGTAGAATTTTTGTAGTTTCAGTAGTTCTGGAGTACCTTTGTATGAAATTATTAAAAGTTTTTTGTGGAGGTAGTAAAGTAACCATTTTTTTTTGATGTTATTGTAAGCAGGAACTTTTTTAATTATTGACCAAGTTGGGTGTTACTTTAAAGTTTAAGGGGTAAACAGATTCTATCTGTTGACCAGCCTCGCACCCCTTCCTCATCTATTAGGCTGGCGCAGATGTGTTTTTAATACATTGTTTCCAGTTTAGGATGTTGAACGCTGGATCTTCTTGACTCAATGCGTGGGTATTGCTTGTGTCTCTATTTTTATGACTGGGCAACTCATTCTATTATCTCCTTATGAGGGTACAGCTCTAAAACTCAGTTTTATGGTTCTGAGGCCGGCTGGTAGTCAGGTTTCCTGAACTCTGTGGTAGCTCTCAGAGAGGCTGATTCCATCAACAGCCGAAAAATATCAGAGTACTAACAGTGCCATGTTGCGCATGGATGGTGTCCCTGTTTGTACTTTTGGTGTGCATTGCAGAGGCCACATTTGGAGCCCTTTGTTACGGCTTAGGGTTTATTAATAGTAATGAGGCTATTGCTTAGTTGTTAAATAGTGTACTGAGTACTATCTATACTTGAGTCAAGTTCTTTATAAATTTAAAATGACTAAAGTACCTAAAACTAAAAAACACAAAAAACCATTGTCATCACCAAGTTCTCTAAACCTATCATTTACTAATATTCGTGGTCTTCGAAGTAACTTTTCTTCTGTTGAGTCTTATCTCTTGCAAAGTTCACCAGACCTACTTGCTCTTTGTGAGACTAATTTGAGTTCGGCTGTCCCATCTTGTGATCTTAGTGTTGATGGTTATCTTCCTTTAATTCGTAAAGACTCCAATAATCACATGCTTGGCCTGGGCATCTACATTCGTAAGAACTCACCCGTTTGTCGTGAAACTAGGTTTGAATCTACAGACTATTCATTTATGTGCTTTCGTTTAGCACAACTTCACTCTATCGCCTTTCTCTTTGTTCTATATCGCTCTCCTTCATCCCAAGATTGCACTATTCTTGATGTTATTTCTGATCAAATTGACCAAGCCCTCTCTCTTTATCCATCGGCCAATATCGTCGTTGTTGGTGACTTTAATGCCCACCACACCGATTGGCTTGGCTCTAGTGTCAGTGACTCTGCTGGCGTTAAGGCCCTCAACTTTTGCCTTTCTCAATCTCTAACTCAAATAGTCAACTTTCCAACTCGTTTTCCAGACAACCCTAATCATTTACCTTCTCTACTCGACTTATGTCTTGTTTTGGATCCTAGTCAGTGCTCAATTTCTCCACATTCACCCTTAGGTACTTCTGATCACGGTTTGATCTCTCTAAAACTATTATCAAATTCTTCTACTTCATCAGAATCCCCCTATCATCGTACCACATACAACTACCTTAAAGCTGACTGGGACTCTTTCCGTGATTTTCTTCGTGATGGCCCTTGGGTAGAAATCTTTCGTCTTCCTGCTGACAAATGTGCTTCTTACATAACTTCGTGGATTCAGGCTGGCATGGAATCTTTTATTCCCTCTCGACGATTCCAGGTCAAGCCTCATTCTTCTCCTTGGTTTTCCTCACATTGCGCTGCAGCAATTTCTAATCGAAACCGTTACTTCCATATCTATCAGCAAAACAATTCTCCAGAAAACAGACATCTGTTCACTATCGCCAGAAACCATTGTAAAAAGGTTTTGTCTGACGCCAAAGCTCGCTATTCCCAGGTCATTAAATCTCGTATCTCATCACAAAAATTAGGCTCTCGAGACTTCTGGAGAATCTTTAACAGTATCAATAATAAGGGCA